GTTTAATTAATTTAATTTTATATTAAAAGAGTTAATAAAAAACAATACACACGCTGCGATAAATTAAATTAAATTATATCGACAACGACTCAGAAATATAAATCAAATACAAAAAGCAACAAATTGACAATAGAACCAAACGCGGTTGCGCATAAAATTTATTATTATTGATTGTAAACAAATAGAGAAACGACTTTTTGACTCTTGGTCGTTCTTTCTCGATACAATTTGAAATACAAAAAACACCGTGATGTTTCCTAACCCCCCGTTATCAAATCACGCGTTTTATAAAAAACGAGGATAGTAAACTGCGTGATTTGAATTTGTCGGAAGAAATCGACGTTTACACATCCGTCGCGCTCAAACGATAAAGGTCCTATTTGACGCGAACCTGAACTGGTGCTGCGGCGAACTCTCTCGTATATACGTGAGTCTTAGACGCATCCTGTCCACACGCTTAAGCGAACAGGACGTTCCGTAGCATCGTCACGATTCCACGCAACCGCCGCAAACCCTCCGGGGAGCGCGTAATTACGCAACACTATTGGCAGTACAGTAGCATAATGTTCGCCTCAGGTTACTGACGGATCCTGACGCAGTTTCGCCGATTATGCGCCACCAATTCAGCATGCAGACCGTATTACGATCGGACATACACACACATATACGCGCGCGTGAGAGAGAGAGAGAGAGAGATGTCTGTAAGCTCGCTTATCTATCGGAGCGACAATCGAATGCGCGCTTCGGACACACACGACTATCGATCACGTTCCATACAGAAGCCAATGACGGTCTCGGTGAAGAATCGAATCAAATTTGTTCACACACGTGACGTTTGTGCGCGCTTCATCAATACGTACGGTTACAGCGACATTTACGGGAAGGGAAGGAAAAAATATGTCATATATCTCTTCCGCGACGAATCCTATTATAACGGGACTATTAATGAGATATTAGCTTTTCATTGTGTTAAAATCGAACTGGCCTATACGTATACACGGGGGGGGGGAGGGGTTGGGACTTTGGGTGAAATTGTCAATTCGAACGCAAACGATGTTACTTATTTTTTTGTTTTTTTTATAATCGCACAATTCTACGATATCCTTGAAATAGACAAGCACGGAGAAATCACTGCGGCAAAAAAAAAAAAAAAAAACATGTCCGACACAAAAATCATACACCTGGGCGTATGCACGGGAAAGAATTTCACGACGGCGAATGCGCGGTCGTGTTACGTGATGCACTCTCGCGTTGTTTTTGCTTGTTTCCCCCAAGTATCATATTAAAAGTCGCACGATACGTAATTACCTCACAGGATCGCTCCGTGACACTCGCGGGATCTGTATATAATCTCGTCTCGTTTTCTCTCTCTTTCTCTCTCTCTCTCTCTCTTTTTCTGTCTCTCTTAAATCGATCAAATCGACGACATCCGCATATTCGCGCGCCGCACGTTTATATTCCGTGCCGTTCCGACTTGTGTCTTTCCCTATCGAGTTTTTACAATTTCTGTGCGGAATGACAAACCGACTCTGCTATTATATCCGCCCGTCAAACGATAACTTGTTACTCGCGACTTCCCGCCAACTAGAACGTACATATGAATGGAGAACGGTGGCGCGTAACGCTCTCTCTCTCTTACGCTTTATCAAAGAAAACGAGAGAAGAGGAGGGAAGAGAGAAAGAGACAAGTTCACGCGTGTAATGCGCGGTTTTAAGTAATCAAGAAATTCGTTTCTTACGCGCAACGCATATATACAATCGATATATATGTCAATGACAGATCTTCGAATCTGTGGACGCGAATCGAGTTTCTCCGTTTCAATCAACGATCCGCGCGAACAGACACTCGTTGATAAACGAACGTTGGTGTACAGTCCGGCGGGGACCGTCTATTAAGAAGAAAGTTCTTCCAGACTCTCTGCAACGGACGGCCATTCGGATACACGTTGTGCTCGAGTGGGTTTTCCGCGCGACGCTTTCCGAGATCAATCGATCGACAACATCAATCGCTTTTTGCCGCGTCAGAGAAAGACAACGGGAACAGAGGCGCGGGACCCCACGCGACACTCCCCGTATTATATTTTTCCTTCTTCTTCAGAACGGTCGCGCGCTTAGATCACTACCTAATGTTCTGTCCTCTTGTGTGCGCCACGCATGTAATTTCTACGTTCCCCTATATCTTCCGCTGTCTTCCTTATCTCTCTCTCTCTCTCTCTCTTTTTCTCGGTGCCGCACTCGATGACGACCAATGAACGTCGGTGCATGTCGGTGTGTTCTCTCTCGGTTCCGCGCCCTACGCTTTTCCTCCTACCACGCGCGCCGACCATCCTGCCGTCCGTCTACCTCAAGACTTGGTTAAGAAACAGTGAATCACGTCCATTGACTGCACGGTAGGCAGACGGCTTGGGCCGGACCATATACAGACTAGATTCACTCGTCTCGCACAGAAATCGTCTCGTACGCGCGTCGCACAGCCCTCGTACACAGCCGCTCGAAAACGTACGTTTACGAGCTCGATAATCGGTTCCTGTTATCGCGAGTAAAAAATAAAAAATAAAAAAAACTAATACATATTGATAGATGTATGTGTAAGTAAGCGCGTTATATATATAGATAATTATTACTCTTTACATTTTTTTGCATTGGGCGAGATGCAAGATAAGCGGCGACTTCTGCGCGCCGCGTATCTTGCACTCTCGTGTGTGTTTTCAAAAACAGATATAAATCTTTAACCGCAAAAAATACATGTGACTTATTTACGATCGAATGTCATTTAAATTCAGCGAGTCGAGGTTCGAGTTGTACCGGGGCTCGATATGTAATAGTTGAAAAAAAAAAAAGAAAAATAAACGAGCAAGCCGAAGGGCAACGATATTGTTGCGGTTGTTTGTCCGACACGCGTGTTTAAGATCACATATTGTTCATATTGTGCGAGCTGCAATATAGCTGCACAAAGTCCGCGTATACGTACGTACATATATAGTTGCGCGTCACACGTAACGATATCAATTAGTGCATCACTGTGTTAGGTTGGATGGAAGGGTACTGGTTTCCGTAGTGGGGTAGTCTAGCGACGACGGGGCAGTTGCGACGGCCGGGGTGCGCTGCAAGGAGCGCATAGTATTCCTGGTGGCAGATCCAGCATCGTCACGTGTCCAGGGGGCGGTACCGCTTTGTCGGGGGTCGCGCCGCGCCGAGCCGCGAGGTATAAAAGAGACGTGGAGACGCAGCGGTGCATTCACCAATCACCATTGCACCTTGCCGCCGGAACGGTGTGTATTTCGTAATATTTGCGTGCTCTGAGTCCTCTATTTTCTGGGTTGTTTTTTTTTCTTTTTCTTTTTCTTCAATTATACATTATGCGCATCATTCGAGATGATTTGACGCGAGAGACACGACCTGGCCGAAATCTCGACACTCTCTACTCGTTATTTTTCTCGTTCGTATTACTTCGAATTACAAAATATAACCGGAAATTGCTACGCTCTAATATCAACTTCCTTCATGTCTTCAGCTAAGTGCGAACATGTAAGAAAGGTATCTCTCTTTTTCTCGATCGAGCTCCTTTCTCACGGTTCAGTTCTCCCATTGGGGATTGGCGGTATATAATATGTGATTTTTGTCAAAATGATAGTCTGTGCGTGTGTGTGCTCTTGTTCGCTCTTTTACCAGTCTAGATTTTTGAACCATACACTTCGCTTCAATTACCGGTCGTTAATGGTCGTGTGATATATCAAATATAATAATAAAAAATATATGTTTCAATTATTTTATTTTTATTTCTATCGCGTTGTCAAATTCTCAGATTCTATTTTTAATTCGGTTGTATTGTTTATGAATGTTTCTTGTCGCAAACGCGAGCAAGTGTCTTCGAAATGAGATATAAAAGAAGTGCTCTTTTTCCAACAAAATTGATAAGATAAAGTTCGCAAGTTGAAAAATCGACGGATTTTAATTTGAAATAAAACATTAGGAAATTAATGAAATTACGGCTTTACACGCAGACGCGTTGACATCGCGTGCGCGCATTCTCTCTCGCGCGAGTTTTTTTTTCTCGTAACGTACACTTAATCGAGTCAAAAGATGAACATCTCAATGGAAGAACAAAATAAAATAAAGGACAATATATGTACATCGCGAGTTACCCGATGGGAAGAAGGAAGGGGCGAGGGGGGGGGGAGGGGGGGAACACACGTGGATATGCGTGTGGCTTTAAAAAAGACGAAACTTCGCGACCTCAATCGGAGTCGGGTCTTTCGAATATCGCTACAGCTGCAGACATGCGCGGCCGGCGCGAAACCGGAAAATTCTCCGCTATAAACTTCCGCGCGGAGAACGTGTAAAAAAAGGAAAAAAAAAAACGAAGAAAGAGCGACCAAAGGGAGGCGTAGGTGGATCCTGCAACTTGTAGGCAAAAGAGCGAGGAGCGCGCATGCATGCCGTAGGAACGGATGCGAAAGCAGGAATGCGAAGAAGGGTATGGTGAACAGGGCAGGAGCACGACGAGAAGAAGAAGAAGAAGACGAAGAAGAAGAAGAGAAAAAGGAGAGAAAGAAGAAAGAGAAGAAGAAGGAGGAGAAAGAAGGAAGAGAAAAGAAGGAAGAGTTGGAGAATTGGAGAAGGAAAGACGCGGCGTGTGCATGCACAAGAAGGCAGGCATACAGACGTACAGATAGCCGTCGTTGAACACCACCACCGCCGCCGCCGCCGCCACCGCCGCCACCGCCGCC